TCTTAGGTATATAAGCCCATAGCATGAGAAAGAAACCTCCTGGGTTTTGGGGGGGGGGGGGGCTGTGGTTGGATGGAGCTGAGGCAATGCTGTGATGGTGAGCGGGCATGGGTAAGGGCTGGATCTTGGGAAGGCCTAACAGTGATAGAAGGGGCCTGTAGAAAGACCAGGGCTAGAAGAAACTCAGTAAAGACTGAGTTTGGAGGCAACCTGATAATCGTAGCCTGAGATGAGCAACATGCAGTGTCTAGATGGAGAGCCTCTAGTTAAGAAACTTTGCACGAGAGAATGGACTCCTCAAGGCGGTTTGCTACTAATTGGGGACAAATTAATTTTGTGGCTGACTTTTCTTGTTTGGTAGGTAGTTTTCCTTCGGGGGAAGTGAGCCTCCTTAATTCCTTAAAGGCGAGCCATTAGAGTGAGCCTTCTGGATCTTTTTAGGTGAGCTAGCTAGTTGAACTCCTATGGGCATGACATTTCCCCTGTTCTGATAAGTGAGCCTTTTGATCTGTTTGGAGGGTAGGTGAAGCCCCATTGAGAAGGCAGGAGTTAGTGAGGGCCAAGGGTTGTATGATGTAACAGAGGAGAGGCATCCAGAAGATTTATGCTCCAGCTGAAATGAAGGCCCATTTTAAACAATGAAATCAAGGTGTAGTAGATGAGTATGCTAGGTGTCTGGGTGGGCAGGCAGTTGTGGACTTTCGAATTGTGCAGCAGCTTTGAGTTGTGCACTATTCCATCTATTCCCCAGAAAATCTCTTTTGACTTTTCCTTGCTGGTTCCCCTTTCCAAGGAGTTTTCATTCCCTTTCCTCGTCTCTTAAGGCAGGTGTTGGTGATGGGCACAACTTCATTGTGACCTATCTGCATGCAATATGGCATCAATCCTACTTCTGGTAAGTTGCTTCTATTTCACAATAAACCTTGGTGTTATTAAGGGGATTACCTGTATGCTTCCCAAAGGGAGCAAGAATCACATAACTGGGGTCCAGATTTATTGATCTAAAAATTTATCCCATGTATAGAAACTTCCTATAGTATTAGTGTTCTCAGGTTCCACTCATCTTATGTCTGCATTGCACACTTCAAGCCAGTCCTGCTGCTGGTGTAAAGTGACAGAGCTTTGCTGATGGTAAAGGGGTTTTGTGTGTTTATGCCCTCCAAGCGTCTTGTACAAAACAGCTCTTTTGTTTGTCTGCTGAGCTTCCAGCCCTCATCTTGTGTTTCAGTGCACAGCAATCTATGGACAGTCTGACCCATGAGGGCTCAGACACTTAGACACCAAACTTCCCTGGGGTTTTGGTGCATAAATATCTTTGAGGATCTGGGCCAATGTCTCTGCTGGCTCCCAGACAACATGCTAGTGACAGAACCATGAGGTTTACAAGTTCTCTGGTGAAAATGTAGTGAGCAAGTTCTTGAGTCATTGGAAACTAGCGGTGAGACTTCATTTTCTGTGAGGTAGCCCCTTTCTATGCAACTTGCTTGGTCTCAGACTTGATTGAGTGGTGGTGTTGCTATCATGGGCAGCATAGATAATGTACAGTTGGTACCTGTCTAATTTTTACTGAGTCATCAGTGCAGTTTCAGGGAGCTTGTTAATTGCTGCCCTATGACCTCATATTACAAGTCAGCAGCCTTGGTTGATTATTTGGCTGTTTTTCTTTAATTGGCTGCACAAACTGAATTAAATTTTTATAGTCATAGAGTGCTCTGATTACTCTGCAAGCAGTTACTATTCCAGCCGTATATTTTAATTACAGATGAATAATCAGTCCTTTTTAGTCTGTGAGTAATTTGCAGTGTTTAATTTGTTCCTTTGTTTCATTCTGTCTAAATAATTTATTTCAGCAGCCTCTGCAGACTGGTGCTGCACCCTCTAGCCAGCCTTCCCATCTGTTTCTTTCAGATTTTGTGGGTGGTTTGATGTAACGGGAGCTAACAGGCTTGCTATCTCATGACCTCTCATGGGCAGGAACTAGAGGAAGTGGTCATAGGGGTCTTTCTTGGTCTTACAAGCTAGCAAAGTACTGGGTGAATTGTTATGGGACAGTTTCAAAACATCCAGTAGTTTCTGTTGACCTCACTGGGGTAAGGATTCTCTAGTGTTCTCAAGGCCAGCTGCTGAGGGCTGAGCCTATGGAAAGTTGGGCACTGTATTCCCATGAAACCCTTGTTCCTATCTTGTAAAGCCTTTGCTGTTGCTTTTTTTCCTTTTTTAAATTATTACTTTTCTTGCTCTTCAGCAAAACACAAGCTTTATGGGGTCATTTTTTTGAATCCAGAGAAATTTAATTGAAATATTTTGTGACGCGTTTGTTGGTCAGTGCCAGTAAGGTCAAAATCAAGATTAATACATTGGCATGGCAAACAGATAATTGCCTGAAAACCCTCTTATGGAAGCATGGCAGTCAGTGCCAGTAGCATATTCAATGTTCAGTTGCTGCAGGCAGAGATCAAGCACACCAGATACAGACACTTCACCCTGATTCTCAACAGCAGCTGGGCATCTCAGTTTTTGAGTTGATAAGTTATAGGGATTTTGGCTGAGGAGGCTTCTTCTAGATAATCGAGTTCAGTCCCCTACACTGTCCAGCAGTCATCTACCCGAGTTGTTCTCTGAATTGCTACTCCAGGTTTTCACTTAAAGCTTGCAAGGCACAAAACCAGAAACAGCAGGCATGCTTTGTAGGGTTGATGAGAGCAGGGCTCATGCCCTGCCTCTGCAACAATTGGGAAGTCATTGGTTAATAGATGTTCAGAAGATCCGTGGCCCATAAGGCATTTGAAATTTCTATTTAAACTATTCAGGATCATTTAAGAGACCTAACTTTTCGGACCATGCTGAGCCCACTGTGAGAATCTCGCTCATTTAATGCCACAAATTGAGCACCCCAAATTTTGATTTTGAAAGTCACTAGCTGCTCCATAAAGCAATGGCCCCAGCTGTGTGTCAGTTCCTGACACATCAGATAGGAAGAAATCTAGTCATAGAAAGTGTGGCTGTTTTTATGGCCTCCAGTCCTTCCTCTGTTGTGAGGATTTACAACCTGTTGCAAAACAGGTGTGCTGCCCAGCACTGACTCCCAGGAGTGTTGGCATTTTGGGACCATGATCTTGGAGCTGCAGAGCCCATTTATTTTCTAGGCTGACCCTTTCTCCCTTCTAAAATGGGGAAATCAAGGGACGCATGTACATGTGATGAAAATTGCTTGTTTCTGCAGTTCAGTTGTGTCACACTTTACACGCATGGGGTTTTTTCATGCAATTAAAATGAGTTTATGTTGCAAACTTCTCATTTAGTTTAGCTTGCAATGTAGCTAGCTGTAACATTGCAGCTTTTAATCTGACCCCCCCCCCCAAGACTGTCCACATCTCCTGCAGCTGGGGGGTGAACTGTCAGTGGGCCAAGTGACCCCTGAACTGCAGGGAGACCTAGGTCTTCCGTCCATGGTGGTGGCATCCCCTGGGGCCACCCAGGTGGGCAGCTAGTCTGCTGGGGGCTGCCCCAGCTCAGAGGCAGCATCTGCTGGATCCAACTCTTCCCCGAGCTCCCTGGGGCTTCCAGCGCTGTGTGCACTGTCCCAGCCATTTGGGACTGCCCAGGAATGGCCTGGCTTGCCCTTGGGGGAGTGTAGGGAAATGGCAGGAAGGTGGCTAGGTGTGTTGGCAGCTGGAGAAGGTGGTGGAGATGATGCCTGGTGCTCTGGAAGCCCAGTGAGCCTGAGCTTCCCTGAACCTGGCCAGACTACCACCGTGCTGTGAACTATCCCTGTTGCCTTCCTGGCCCACAGCACACCCAGCTGCTCTCCCGCTGCTTCCCTGCACTGCCCCAGGGGCAAGTCAGCCTGTTCCTGGGTGGTAGTGGGAACTGGGAAGGCGGCGAGGACAGTGCAAGTGGCGCTGATCCCTGGTGGGCCCAGGGAAGAGTTGGATCTGGCCAGGTGCCCACTACCAGCCTGCTCAGGCAGCACCGCCACCATGGAGGGAAGGACCAGGGCCCCCTGCAGCTCAGGGGCTTTTTGGCCCACTGGCAGCTTACCCTTGGCTGCGGGAGAAGTGGGCAGGCTTTGCAGTGGTGGGGGGTAGGGAAGGAGGTGGGGAGGATTGAACCCCTTGCTGTAAGTGATGGAAGCCCCTAAATTGAAATGGTGGGCTTTTAATCATCACAATTAAAAATGTACCATTTCAATTTAGGGGGCTAAATGCCTGTCATGTGTACAAGTGCCCAGGGTGAACAATGTACCTGTTCAGATGGCTCTTTACTACTGAGCTGTTACAGGCTAGGGGATTCTCCGATAGGCTTGTGGGATGCATGGGAGTAGAGACTGCCTCAGGACTTGCTGCTTGCTTGCTCACCAAGGCACCTTTGGCTGCAGGGTTTCAGACCTAAAGTCTGGCTTGTTCAAGGGAGGTGAATTTAAGCCTATCCTAGGGATTCCCCAATTGGTAAGTCTGCATATGTGGAATGAGCAGCCTCCATTCACTGCATCCACATATATAGAAAGGTCAGCTCAGAACTGTGGTGGTGTCTCTTTCTGGTCACAACCACTTGCTTTCAAATGAGAACTTTTGTCATGTTGTTACACTGGGGATGATGATATTTTCTCTGAGAAGGATATAAGGGCTTTCAAAAGAGTCCAGGGGAGTTGGATATAAGTATTTCCTTGACATTTACAAGTGAATACCCAAGTTCTCTTTACTACTGAAGGGCAGTACTAGTATTGAATCTCATCCTGCTGGCTATGAATAGGTGCTGGCTTTCCCCTCTGCTGCCCTTTAAAAGAACCTGCTAGTGGTTTCTTGTGGGGGAAGGAATGGGGCCAGCACATGACAGGAATATGTGGGGATGAGGGATTGGGTGAGAGTTGGAGGGGATGGAGGTTGGCTCCCATTTTGGCTGGCTGTTCCCAAACTCCTAGCCTTGCATAGCAAAGGGAGGAATTCACCTATGCATCATGCCAGCATGTGGATCCATGCCAGTATCTTGATCAACCAAGGTGAAACTACAATAGTCCCCAGTGGGAGAGAATTAATGGGAGTGTAACAGAATAAGCCCATAGCAAAAAAGAGCTTTTATGGCCCCTTTAGCATTACTCTATCAGTGTCAAGTTGGGGCATCTCCTTCCCTTTGGGTTGTGGCAGTGTAATGGGGCCTTCTTGGGACGGATCTACCAATGCCCCACCCACCTGTTCTGGGCCAACCGTCCACCTTCTCTCCTGCCATGCCTTGATGAAATCTAATTAAGTTGTTAATTAGGCAGGAGGCTGCCCATTTTGCTGCCCCAATGCCGGGGGTGTAATCCATGGCTCTGTTCCTCCCCTACACCACAGCCCAAGCCTCGCAGATGGCATCCAGAATTGTTAATGTCACCAGCCCCACTCTGGGCCCTAGAATCCTCCCCTCCAGACCCCAACTGGATCCTTCCACTCAGGCAGCCTACTCCGCCTACATTCGGGGCTGCCTAACTCCCTGCACCATTTGCCCTCTTGGGCGTGCTCCCCCCCCCCCCCCCGCCCTTTCCCCCCCCCGCCCCCGGTT